CTTTCAAACCGAAACACATTACTGCTTCACTGCAGAAATAGGTATAGACGGTTATCGGTGCTTGAGGTACCTAAAATCACCAATAATGGATCGGGAGGATCCGTAATGACGTGTTTAGGGCGACGTCGACTGTTTATCATTCGGTCTACAGGATCGGGTATGTAAGCAACTAATAATACAAAAATACGAAAGGAGATTCGTATCCAATACATATTTACCTTGGCGAAGGCTCATTAAGTAATAGAACCCTAAAATATCACTGATTACAAGATAACAATTTGGGTATGTTTTGAGATTTTTCTATGTCCAAATCTGACCTACATGTAAAACAATGCTCTCACGATGAATATTTACACGATAAACAAGAGCCTTAGTAATTGACCATATTAGTCATTCGGTGACAAATACTGCCAAACGAATAGCACAGACATATGTGTATTCAGAAAAGGCGTGGTGTTTAAGAACTTACCTTGTCATACACTTGTTGGACAACTATTTTTTATTTACATAATTTTCTTATTTAAATAAACTAGAGGTTCCGCAGTAGTCGAAATTCGACTATAATTAATTGGAATTGTAAGTTTGTACACCATTATGATTGTATTTTATACTTCTATAATCACAAATTTCGCCAAGACAACACTGTATAAAATATTAACAGACAAACCATAGTCTATTCTCAATTTGACAACAGACGTCAAGAACAAAAGTTTGACAATAAATAGTATGCATGCGTGTGTGCGTCAAATACATGGTCTGTAGTGTGTGTAATGTTTTCTTTATTGATTTAAAGTATCTTTTACGCATTATTTTAAAAAATATTAGCATTGTGCACTCCTTCTCTATATTCTCTATAAGTGTGAAAAATTTCATAGTCCTCCGTCCGCGCAATTTTCGTAAAAAGGGATACAAAGTTTTTTCTTCACGTATTAATATATAGATGATACTTACGTACAAAAATAAATTGCGAAATAAGTTAAAATTGGAATGTAGCCAGCTTGTACAATACCACAAAACGCGGCAAAAATAATCAGGATTGATACCTAACCGTGCTGGCGTGCAATATTCTCCTCTACCACCAGTAAGCAAATGTACTTTGGATTTAAAAAGGCAACTACATTTTACGAGAGAGAGTTAATGATAATAGATGTCCCATATAAATGCGTTCTTTATGTTATCTAAATATCAATACAATTCCTAAAACCCAATGATTAGAATATCCGCAGAAAAAATATTTCAAATTTCAAATACATTCATATTTGTAAATCAATATACCTATATATGTTGTATGTATGTGTGTGTATGTGTATATTGCAATCTATAAGTACACCGCGTGTAAATTGTCTCTTAATTATACTTGTCCACCTGATGCTTGCCTGGAAGAGATCGCTCTTAGCGATAAGACCGCCAATTGAGCTTTTTCTTATATTTAATGTTTCTCTCTTTCTCTCTCTTAAACATTCTATCGTGCGTTTGGACCTCGGCCTCGCCTGGTTAATACTACTGTCCGCCTTGATAATAAAAACGAAATGAACATAATTGCATTGATAAATTTGATAACTGCATTCGTGTCAACTGAGAATAAGAAAAGGGTCGGAAAGTTCCTAAGTGGCGATCGCGTACCGGAAGACGTAGCTTGGTTAGGCCTCCCACAAGATAAACCGACGACCTATTGAGGTTCGCGGAAAACCGCTGGATGCCGGTAGAGCAGGATCGATCGTTATGGCGAGGCTTGGGGGAGGCTTATGTCCAGCAGTGGACGTCTGTGGGCTGATAGAATATTTTCTTCTGATTTCCTGATATGTGGACATAATTAAAACTACTTTTACCTACGAAAAAAGGCTAAGTTGAACAACCTGCCAAACCTCGAGACGCATTTAGTTCGGTTTTACAAAAATCTAAATGAAGTTTAAGGTATCTTTTTAGTAAATTATTATATTAAAAATATTTGCTTTAGAAATGAAAAATAACTACGGAAACAGACTGGAAACGCTTCGATAAAAATTGAAATCAGCATTTCTAGTTCTTCCTCAAAAATTGGATCATTTCAATTTTTTTATCCTGGAGGAATTCTAATTACAGGCCGAAACGGAAAACGTCTAATGGCGAAAATAAAACAATTTTAAAGTTTTAATTTCATAACATTTAAGTAGAAATACTAAACTTTTATCTATCAGCTAAATAAAAATATTAAAAGTTAAAGCAAAAAAAAAAAAACACTCCAAACAAAACCGAACGAAGTCTATCGTGCCTTTAACTTCATCCTTCCCTTTACGAATCAGTCCCCGGGGCCGTGAACGGGTGGTAAACAAGGTCAGACAGCCGTGACGATTGGAACGTGTCGCGACAGCTACACGACACCTGAACACCTTAATCCTGTACCACTTAGGATTTCCCAGAAATCGATGTTAGCAAGACTGTTCGCTATAGAGTACTTTTCCAATAAATACGGAATGAAGAAGTTGATGTTTTTGGGGTGAAGCTTACTTCGGCAAGACATTTTCAAGGTCGAAAAATATATATTAGAGAATTAAAAATGATCGAGAGCGTTTTCTCGTAAAGCTTTCGGAAATTATAAATAGATGTTTGCTTTTCTTCTTATAATCACATAGCGTATCTTCTTTTTTGACATAAAAAAGACATTTGAACGATTTTAACCAAGCTAGGATATTCTGCTGTATTAAGAGCAACACTGATAAACCCGATACTCGAATGTCAAATTATGTTTAATTCTTCAAGAATCAAATTTTTTTCTACATAATTACTGTTAAAACGAGGTATTGCACGGGCATACTGGTGGTAGGACTTCTTGTGGGTCCGCGCAGGTGCCACCACCCCGCCTATTTCTGCCGTGAAGCAGTAATACGTTTCGGTTTGAAGGGTGGGGCAGCCGTAGCAACCATACTGATACCTTATATCTCAAGGTGGGTGGCGCATTTACGTTGTAGATGTCTATGGGCTCCAGTAACCACCTTACACAGGTGGGCTGTGAGCTCGTCCACCCATCTAGGTAATAAAAAAAAAGCATGTACCTACCATCAACTTTACTAATTTCTGTTGAATAGCAAGCATACGTGCTAATTAAAAAAATGAAACAGGCGATATATGATGCAATTGAGAGTTTAACCTCATATCTCAAGATAATATTCGCGTATTAACGTCTACGGATCCCGGTAATCACTTATTACTAAATTCAGTTATTCTAAGCTGTGATTTTCGTTAGTAACACGATTAAAGTCTATTTCTTGAAATATATTAATGGTCATATTACGAAAACCTGCATGGAGCACAAAAAGTAACTTGATCAAGTTTCATCACATTTAACTTATCTACTTAGCAACGCATAGAGGATAAGCATATATACCGTCATTGTTTTTTTTTGAATTTATTTATATATAGTTTCAACGCGATTGAACCACACCGACGTCTTATCTACCATAAACATGAAAAAACGTAATAAGTACAAATGCTTTTTTCGATATCAGTCAAAAAAAATATATTTGTGTACAAAATTATCAATTAAATAATAATTCAATTAAACGGACTGAAAATACCCGTACATGACGTACTTTGACGGAAAATGACAACATGTATTATCTTATCTTGTACGAACCAGTAAATGCTCGTGGTCTCTTACGGACCTGAGGCTAGGTGTAAAATTGTATATTTTTTTTTTATTGCCAAGCAGGCAAACGAGCTTACGGCCCACCTGATGGTAAGTGATTACATCGCTCATGGACGTCAGCAATGCCAGGAGGAGAGCCAAACCGCTGCCAACTACTGACTGAGTACAATTCAAGCATGGTCTTCAATTATGTCGTTTTTACCAGAGCGCTTGGATATTATATAATGTGCATACACACAGCTTGAGATTGATGATAGGGCTTGTGAGCCCACACGGGTAGGTACCACCACTCTGCCTATTTATGCCGTGAAGCAGTAAAAAGTGTTGATTTGAAGGCTGGCACAGCCGTTGTAACTATGTAACTGAAACTAATGTTCCAAGGTGGGTGGCGGTGTTTACCATATAACATCGAATGGGTTGTGAGCTCGTCCACCCATCTAAGCAATAAAATAAGGTCGAATTTAAAATATGATTGTACATTATAAGTCCCACCCAATAAAACTGAAAGAGTTGCTGTTTCAAGGTAAAAAAGGCACGATGGTGGAAATAACACGCGAAACTCGTAACAATACAATTAAAAAAATCCTCCTAAAAAGACATCCTATCAACCAACATCCAAAATAAATTATCGACTGTCACATAACGATCCTTATGTAATTTAAAAAAACTCAAGCACCAACATTATAAAACTTAGAAATTAAGATTTTGTATTTACGTATAATATATAAATTAACATAATTTTTACATTTATAAAGTGTTATTTGTTTATGTGTTATTACGTATAAAAGAAGAAGACGTATAAGACGTATATAATAATAATCCTACTAGGTGGGGTCGGCTCAGCTAATTTTCCTCTTCCGTTCCCCTCTATCAGCCGTCATCGCAACACTCGCTCCTCTCTCTGTCCTCTGTCCCTCATATCGTCATTCACACACACCATCCATGTCTTCTTCGGTCGACCTCTTCCCCCTCTACCTTGCACTACCATTTTCATACATCTCCTAGTCACATGCATCTTCTCTCTACGCAGCACATGTCCATACCACGCTAACCGTCCGCTCTTTAATTTGTTGATTACCAGGGCTACTTTCACACTTCCTCTGATAGACTCATTCTCTATCTTCTCCTATATACATATAACAAATATGTAGTTACCAATTCATTCTACTGAGGGCTAGATGTGTTCTTTGATACAGACTCGAATGTTTTATATTATGGTTTACCATAAAAAACGCTGTTTATATTTACATTTTGTACAATGGAATGTATTAGTTTGAATGTAACTGCAATGATTCAAAGTACTAAGTTATTTTTCGAGGTGAATACGTTTCTTTGGGCGAACGATAACTCGATACCTAATCAACGATAAGACAACATGGGTGATAGCGCCGAACATACAGGATGTTTATTTTAATTCAATAATATTTTGTTCAGTTCATAAAACAAATTTCAATTTACGATAAAATACATATATTTTATTAAATATTAGAAACTCTACATATCTCCTATTAATGGGGAAGTGCCGAAAAAAATTATCACAAATTATCATTTCCCGACTGTGATACGATAAATCGCATTTGTTACAAATAAAAAAACATTCCTTTATGCATACAATAACGACATGGCTGACGTAAGCTTCCAAAAAATTTCAAGAAAGCCGCAGGTTCAAACTTTAATTTTGAACTTTAAAACAAAAATCTTCCACCTGTATATTTATTTTTGAATGGTGGAACATACAAAGTATTGTCAGCTAACACTATCTATCCCATCGCTCGCATACGTGCAAGAGAATTTGTAAAAAAAACATATATTTTAAATATATTTCAACGGTCAGTATGTTGTTGGCAGCAATCGATCTATAGTAATATTCTGGTGCTGTTTAGTATTCAGTTCAATGTTGTACGTGGAAATTCTGTAACATGTGAACGCCATTCGCACTCATGGATTTTGGTACGTTTAATTTTGTTTACCGATATATCGCACTAAGCCTATTCACATAGATCATCGTAATCTTATCGGAGTACAAGTACAGGCCTAAGTATTTGTAAAAGACACCAGAAATTATATCATATAATGATTTATATATGTATTAACGATTTTGTGAATATACATTTGAGAAATAGTATAAAAACATGAATGATTCTTTACTATTTGCACACGTCATTACGGATCCACCCGATCCATTAGCGGTGATTTTAGGTACCACAAGCACCGGTCAACATCCTGGTCGAACCCGTCGCTTGCGGGAAGGGCTCGACGAGCGAATTAACCCATAGACACAACCCACTGAGTTTCTCGCCGGATCTTCTCAGTGGGTCGCGTTTCCGATCCGGTGGTAGATTCTGCGAAGCACTGCTCTTGCTAGGGCCAGTGTTAGCAACACTCTGGTTTGAGCCCCAAAAAAAAAATACTATTTGTCATTATTAAGGTTTACCATTTTGCGAATCTACATTTATTTGATATTTGATAATTTTTGAACTTATCTTCTTTTAATTTTGTGAAATACATATATTAATGTACTGTTTTGCGTATTTTACATTCATTGAAATAATATAAAAAATCATACACATTGTTGGTTCATTATTCAACGTCAATGCCAGACAAGTTTAAAAATTAAAAAACAAAGGCTAAATAATACTTACTGTACTTATTGCGTCTTCTTAATAACAATATAATAACAAACAATTAGATTTTAAAATTAAAATTAACACAAAAAAAAACTTCATGCACCTACCTAGCAATTTAACAACCTAACCTAATTAGCAATTTTACAACGATGATAAATATGTAATTGATCCAACAATATTATGCCGTCCGATTTGCAACAAATATTTTAATTATATTTTAATGTTCCAGGAGTTTTCAGAACCAGATTACTGCTCTGGCTTTTGCCCGGGATGGTGACTGGTGGATTGGTTCGCCGAACGACTGATGAGCAAGAGGAAATGCCCTGCAGTACTTATACCCTAGACGGACTAATCTATCTCGACTGCAATGAGAGAGGGCTTAGTGAACTACCTGAAGGCTTGAACTATGAGGCAAGTATTTTGACCATAAATTTTAAAAGTTTATACAGATCCCAAATGTGTCCCAGTAATGCCAGCGATACAGTGTCTTTTAGAGGTATAAATTATGGTATTATCTATCTATCTATCTATATATATAAAAAATAATTGCTGTTCGTTAGTCTCGCTAAAACTCGAGAATGGCTGGACCGATTTGGCTAATTTTGGTCTTGAATTATTTGTGAAAGTCCAGAGAAGTCGTCGTGGCCTAACGGATAAGACGTCCGGTGCATTCGTGTTGAGCGATGCGCCGGTGATCGAATCTCAGGCGGGTACCAATTTTTCAAATAAAATACGTACTCAACAAATGTTCACGATTGATTTCCACGGTGAAGGAATAACATCGTGTAGTAAAAATGAAACCCGCAAAATTATAATTTGCATAATTACTGGTGGTAGGACCTCTTGTGAGTCCGCACGGGTAGGTACCACCACACTGCCTATTTCTGCCATGAAGCAGTAATTCGTTTCGGTTTGAAGGGTGGGGCAGCCGTTGTAACTATACATGAGACCTTAGAACTTATATCTCAAGGTGGGTGGCGCATTTACGTTGTGGATGTTTATGGGCTCCAGTAACCACTTAACATCAGGTGGGCTGTGAGCTCGTCCACCCATCTAAGCAATAAAAAAAAGAGAAGGTTTTAAAGGTAAATAAATATGAAAATGCTCAGAATGAAATAAAAATAACAATTTCGTTTTTCCTTTGATGTGTCCCCCCGTCGGACGGATTCCTTTTGTTTGTTTTAAGTTCATTTTATACAAAAGTTTAGGTCTATTATTTATCGATTGAGGCACTACGAAGTCTGCCGGGTCAGCTGGTTTATTTAATGAAAAAAATTACATTACTTATTATTTAAATAAGTTACTATTACTAACGATATGTTCATTTATGCTGGTCGTAATATGTGGGGTCCTATTTAAATTGACGTTTCCTTTTATTTCAGTCACAAGTGCTCATTTTAACGAACAACAACTTCGCAACGTTTCCGTCGCAATTGGAAAGCTTCACGCGCGTGCAAGTATTGGATCTATCCGGTAACCATTTGAACGTGCCGTTGCCCAGCTACATAGAAAATTGGACCAGCCTAAACACGCTTAATTTATCGAACAACAATTACGAAAGTTGGCTAAACGATGGCCGCCAATACAAATTCAGAAGACTGGATCTGTCGAGGAACAAAATAAAAAACATTGAAGAAGATTCGTTCAGTGGAATGACCAATTTGTATTTCTTAGATCTCTCTGAGAATAGAATAAACGAGTTTTCTCCGAAACTCCTTACGGCGGCAAAAAGTTTGAACACACTCAGATTAAGTCGAAACTATTTGTCTGAATTACCGAAATTTCAATCGAATTCCCTGAGGAGTCTTCATCTAAGCTATTGTTTGATCACAAACTTACAGGTCGATTCTCTGTCAGAAATGACTTCGCTGCTCGAAATCGATCTATCTTCGAACCAAATTGAAAGCATACCAGATAATTTTTCGTCCAACACTCTCCAGGAATTGGACTTGAGCTATAATGAAATTGGCTCGCTAACTGACCGCACGTTCTCGTCACTACCCCACTTAGCGGTATTGAACTTGAGAGGGAACGAGTTCAGGGAGGTTTGGTCCACCTCACACTTCGCCTCGAATCCATTTCTGAGGGAAGTCCACGTGAAGGGAAACCGATGGAACTGCGAAGGCTTTAGCGTCAATCTTTTGCTCACTTACGAGTTCCTCACGAAAGAACCTTCGAAAATTCACGATAGAGCTTCCTTGATTTGCTACGCGCCATCGAACGTGACTCAGCTGAGTTGGCAACAGGCGTACATACAAACTTGGCACCCCAACGCGTCTACAGTTGAATCTTATACGACACTGGCAGCTATGGTCGGTATTATCATTGGTATAGTGGTGACATCGTTAATTTGTCGGGGCATAATTGCTATAAACAAACCGGATCCTCCGAGGCCTGAAACTGAGACGACTATTGTGAATCTCAACGGAACGCCACAATCGCGGGCCGAGTCGGTCGTGATGAGAGTGCCTCTGCGTGACGAGGACCTGCCTCCGACTTATGACGAGGCTCTGTTGATGCCACGATTGAATTCGTCATTCCATTCACTGCCCGATTTTGTGGACGATGAACCTAGTCAACGTTCTCGGAGGTCAAGATCTATTGGTGATCTTACGGAGCACAGGCCGAGAGTGAACGATCGACGATCTGTCAGGCGAACCGTCGAAATTCATATAACCTGATGTGTTATTTGTTTATCTTCATTTTCATTCGATAATTGATTTCTGTCAGCGAAGAACATTAGATCAATGAATATGTAGGTATAGTGGGTATAATGTGATCGTCGAATTCTTGACATGTTCCACATCCTTCAATGTGTTGTAAAAGTTTTTATATGAATATTTGCTTTTGTTAGTTTTATTTTATGTGACTACAAGTGTATTTTAGCTTTATTTTAGTATAAAAACTCTTTTGTATGTGCATTTGTTGTGTGTCGAGTGATTGTTAGAGTATTAAAGGATTTTTTATTTATTTTAAGTTTAGATAAGAATGCATGCACGTTATTTATTTATATTAAAATTTAAATTAACAATTTACCATAGATTAATTTTCATATAACGTAAAACGCATTTAATACCGCCTACGTTCTATACCCATTCCTAGCCTTTGAACTGCCACTTATAGTCTGTAAAATGTAGCTTGATACGCGGGAGTTGGCAGTGAAATTCTAGAACTAGGTTCTGTTAGAAAAAGGCGAATATCAAAAAACGTAAAAAAATATTAAGGCAATCTCAATTATCGCTCTGCGGACTTTCCTGCATATGTATTAATTATTACGAATGCGAAAGTTTATGAGGGTGAGAAGATGTTTATTTAAATATTTTTTTCGTTCACGCAAAAACTACTGAACGGACTTTGATGAAACTTCATCGTGTTGTACCATGACATGGGGTAAATTGGGATCCTGGGGTAAATTGGGACAAACCTGCGGAAGATTCTCAAAGTACCTGTAGCACGGAATCTAACTAATTTTGTTTATGTTAATATTTATCAATGTATAGAAGAAAAACCAAGTTAACTATGGAAGTACTAAATATGAATTAAGTTGGTCCCAAAAATTCGTCAAATTAAATTGAAAATAGTGGTTGAAAAGTGCGTTTTAAAACAGCTTACAAAACTTTTAAAAAAAGTAATATTATCGTTGTTTTTTCAATAAGATCACAGTTTATATAAGTTTTTAATACACCTGGAAATACCACAACAAACGGTAAGTTGCAATATTCTTATTTTAAATACAATATTTCGACAAAATAAAAAATGTATATTTTTTCCTTTCTTTTTGGGGAAAATTGGGACGTATGTAGGGTAATTTGGAACGAGACTGGAAAAATTAGGGACGAGAAAACACAAAATTGGAACGCCAAAAGACAAAATAGGGATGGCTTGTTAGGGTTGTCACTGATATCTTATAATAGATTTTTTAGCCTATACTATCACTTAATTGCGTGATGTAAAGAAGGTTAATGTGTTTATCAGTTAGTTTATGTAAGTATTATAGGTAAAAGAAAAGTATATATATAATTACTTTTTTTTCGCGACATTTACCTTGTAATATCTGCCCGGTCGTATGTTCTTTATAGCAATAAAAAAAATTAAAAGTTAAAAGAACTCAAACGAATCAAAACTTTTGTTATTTCAGAATCTATTCACGCGTCGAATCATGATTTTGTTAACATTCAAAACGCACACACAAATAAAAACAGGCCTCAGATTTTAAATGTAACATTAATTAAAAATCCGAGATATCCAATTATGAGTGAGTGAATTAATTGAGTTTAGTTATTTAGCTTAGAAAGAATTTCTTTTATTTTTGTTATTATTGGCAGTAATCAGATAAAGCTGTTTTTTTATCTTATTCACCTGATATCTTACTCTTGCTCAAAGATTATTTTGAAAATGTTGATTAAATAAAATTATATTATTGCATTTCCAGTCCTTTTGTTTTCTATTTTTTATTCTATTTTATGATTTTGTTTCAGAGTTGTGATTTTTAAGGAAATTAAATAATAATTTTCTAAAATATAACATGCACATACTTTTTTTGATCATTGTATTGTTGTTTATCATTCACGTCACATTGCTTCGGTATAGAAACCAGCTTAATTTACACTATGTTGTGTATTGTGCTTAAATTATGGATTGTATTCATCATTTCGGTCCATATAAATAATTATATGGCACCTACCTATATATCGCAGTACTGCGAGTTGACAACCCTTACAAATATCCCAATTTAACCCTTAACCGTGTCAATTTACCCCGGACGCTGGGTAAATTGGGATGGCCATTATTTTACCGATTATTTCTTTAAAATGAATAATGAAAATAATGTAACGGTTTTTATCACCTAGGTACGTTCAAGACTCAACTTATTTTTTTGGTTGAGCAGTGACTATTTAATTGGAACTATGTTAAAATTCAATCTGAAGTTCGATTTTGTCCCTATTTACCCCATTTTACGGTAGTTCATACATTAAGTGTATAATCTATGGTTCATACAACAGAATAGCACAGACTATATAATATACTTTAATGTTAAAACATATGCCGATAGACATTAGGAATGTTCTAAATTAATCACGAAAAAGTGGGTGAGTATTTTCGAAAATGAATATAATGAAATCTGGATTACAAAACGACATCAATCACATTTATAATGTAATACATTACGTTAAATAAGTCTCAATTTAAACCTGCTGTTTATTTTTAATTAAAGTAGTTTTTCAAATGACCAGCGACATCTATTGTTAAAACGATGATATAGCTCTGACTAAACGGGCGCCGAAATAGGAAGCACATTTTTGATTGTTGTCCCTGGGCTTTGAATTATGAATAATAGATGGCGCTGTTAAATATATTTTCAAAATAATTAATACAAAAAAAACATGTTACAAATTAACGTTCCAACTGCAGTATTATGTAAACAACGTAATCGTTTTATTAAGAAGCTGTGAATCAATTTATTTAACTGATCTTCAGCTTTTATTACAACCTAATCAAACTAGTAGTCATTGTAGTCAAGATAATAATAAATGTATTATCTTTGCTCGAGACTCGACATTCGATTTGCTGACATACTGTATCATCGTTGTATCGATTACGTAAATTACTTTAAACGGAACATTCAAAAGAAAATATAATAGTACACTATTCCTTTTAAAGCCAAACGATCTATAGCTTTAAAAGAAAAAATGTCTTAAAAACACTAACAACTCGAAGTGGCATAATCTCGTAGGTGCTCGTAATTGGAAGAATAGTAATTTGTGTAATTACCTACCTGGTAACACACATTTGTTTTTATAATTTTTAACTCACTTAATTCTGAAGTTTCGATCGTGTACATCAGTCATCATTACAAAAACCAACTGACTAGTGCAATTCTGCTAAATTTATTAAATTCATTCAGTAAATAATAGACGAAAAGAGTATATTACATATTTATTCGTCGATTATAGATTTTTTAAATTAGGAATTTAGTCACATTTTCAAAATTAAACCTGCTTAATCATAAATAATTCTATGAAGAATAGTCCTGCGCACCTACTGACATTACAGTAAGTATATAATTTCGCCATTCTTATCTCTTATCCATTGATAAAAAGTCACAATCTGACTCACACAATGCAGTCGCAGTCCAGCGTACGCACGTCTTAAAAGCAAAAATAACTGTGAAGAAATACTATATTACGCCCAAAGGAAAAAACGGAGGCAACAAAAACCGCCTTTATCTTAAGGATTATATGGATTACAAAACTGAAGTCACTACAATAATAAGCACTCTTAGTATGTCAAGCAACATACTTTGTTACGAAATATGAATAAAACACCCTAGAGTTGTGAAACAGCCTTAATTACGAAAAACTGGATAACTAGGTAAGTGACAGAAATACTTCTTAGAAATTATCGAAAGAACTTTATTTATTTGTACTATGTTTACAAGGCCATTATAGGTAAATGTATGAAAATTTTATTACTTACGGTGGTCATTCAAAAAATTATCTCAGTTGACGATTATTTATGATATAAGCATCTCTATCGAAACACCTCTTTAGATTAAAATCAATTTTAGCTAGAACATCCTTTATCTTGTGCTAGGAGGCTGGATAATAACTAAAACACCCAACCAGGTCGTGAGGTAATTCTATGGTATAATATAACAGGTGCGGTGGTTTGTTACGACCCAAATTTCACATCCCACCAACCTACAGCCACTATCAAAAACTGATAACAAAGATAAAACTGTTGTATTCGTTCTGACATTTATTTAGGTTTAGCCGAAATGAATTGAATTAACAATACGTTATGTGTCGTAAACCTTTTAGGTAACACAAAACGTGTTGGGAATCCAAGACAAATTAATTGTGCAGGTGTCAAATGTATTGTTATAATTATTTTTCCTGTCGGGATTATTGTGAAATCGATTTCACCGTTACCTTAAAATATCTTATTGCAGACAGTAATGAAAGCAAGGCGTGATGTTACGATTGTCCAGCGTATGGATTATTCTGATATCATGGAATTTGTTAGCGTTTGCAAGAAGCTTGGATGACGATGACAAAACCATAGGAGATTTGTGTTTTCTATGCAGATGTAATCTAGATAAAACTGATATTGATTGTTCACGTAGAGGCCTCACGGACATCCCCAATGGATTGGGATTACAGGTAAGTTGACTTATTCTTTCCTTAGACGAATTCCTTATTCTTTCATTTAACTCATTCATAAAGACATTTTTCACGCTCACTACTACATGTTTTCTTTAACAGGTGACCAAACTGAACATTTCGAATAATGAGTTTACAAAATTTCCCGAGTCTCTGAGCAGACTCCACAACCTCGTGAATTTGGATATTAGCAGCAACCAATTGAAGGGATTACCTGACAATGCGCTTTACAATTTAACAGCGCTCGTAGTGTTGAATTTATCAAGAAATTACTTTGATTCGTGGCTTAATTTGAATCCGAACGATGTACTGCTCCCGGCTACACACTTGAAAATTCTGGACCTGTCGTATAACAAATTTCAGACTATGGGCAATTTGGCCAATCAAGAATTATTGATCAGCCCATCCCTGGAAACGTTAATATTAGATCATTGTGAAATAAATTCCATACATGGTAGGTCTCCATTAAGTGGTCTGATAAACATAAGAGTTCTAAAGTTGAACTTCAATCCTTTATTGAGAATACAAAATTTAATATCGTCATCCCTGAGGAGTCTTTTCGTTAGTAACTGTGAGCTGACCACATTAAATCATAACGAGTTGATGTTCTTACCTTCGTTGACTCATTTAAAAATGTCAAATAACTATCGTCTCGAGTTAGCGTCTTCAGCGAACAATTTGTTTTCGCAATCATTAAAATATATCGATATTTCATACTGTAATATTTTGCAACCGAACCTCAAGGGGTTCCCTAGTTTGCGAAAAGCTATCCTAAATCACAATATGGTTAGGTATTTAGAAAGTAACGCTTTTGCTAACAATACAGAATTGGAATATTTGGATTTGTCCAATAACAACATTGCGTCGCTTAGATACGATACGTTTCGAGGACTGAAGATGCTGAAACACTTGGATTTATCTTGGAACGAAATCGCTGTGATTCCAGAAGATAGCTTATTGGAAATGCCGTCTTTGACGCAATTGAAATTATCCAGAAATTACCTGTCGAGAGTTGGTCACTTGAGATCAATGTCTGTAACGATTCTCGATATGAGTTCATGTGAATTAAATACAATCGGTAAAGATTCACTGGAGGGCTTGCAGTCGATTGTTGAATTAGATTTGTCTCAGAATCTGTTATCTTATATTCCGGATAGTATTTCTTCGAACACTTTGAAATACCTTAATTTGAATTATAATCGAATAAGCAGCATTAATAATTTAACGTTTTTCATGTTGAATCGGTTGACTAGCTTAAGCGTGGTCGGTAACAGATTCACTATGATCTGGCGGAGATCGTTTTTCGATTCCAATCCATATTTGGAAAGACTGGATTTGAGTGACAACATGTGGAGATGTGATTGCTCCGATGAGAACATGAGGGACTTTTACGACTTTGTCACTTTAGAACCAAATAAAAAAGAAGAATCGTTCAATCTTATATGCAATAGTCCGGCTAATGTGAACACGCAGACGTGGCTCGAGGCGTGTTACTTTACTTGGAATCCCACCGAAAAAACCGCTAACGCAGACACTTTAATATGGTTTATTGTTGTCATGATCATAGGCTTGTCCTTGTGTATAATATTAGTGAGCGGAATCCGAAGCTCGATGAAACGTCGTCTTGCCGCCATACAAGCAGAACGGGAAAGGCAAGTGGAAGAAGCGAGAGACAGATTGAGGCAAATGAGAATACGTGCGGAACAGGAAGCGTTATGTAATACACCAGATCCACGTGATTTGATCGCGCCACCGTCGTACGATGAAGCTCTCTCGATGCCAAAACTGAATGTATCGTGTCATTCTTTGAACGAAACCGGTTCAGGAAAAACCAGGAGAAAGAGAGGGAGAAGGAAAACGAAATCGAGTGGTGATCTGCTAGAAGAAACTGATAGGAACGGTGATGCACCCGTTTATGATGATTTAGAACTAACCGAGACCCAAGAGGAAGATAGACAGCGGAGGCGTCGTAGAAGAAATAGAAGGTATGGCAGTCACGAAATAGCTGAGTTGGATCAATCACCAGGTGCTCGGCGTCGGCGAATGTCTGAATATATTGTTGAAAACGATGATAGTGTTATTGTGGAAGTTCAAGCGCAGTTAGAACGACCCCTTCGCCCTAGAAATCGACGGTATTCGATTGATGATAATGATGTCAGGGAAAGTGACTTTTAATTTTTTTTTATCCAATAGACAACTAGCAAAGTAAGAATAATGTGAAATTTTAAATAAATATTTATGATAGTTATCTTTTACTAACTTTTTTCTTTCAAATAAACTAATTACATTTCAAAACAATAAACACAAATATTACTATCAACATGTGTATAGCTAGAGCTCTCTATTGTTATTGTGTACGCAATTTTTTGTTAAATATTATTACAATAAGTATACAACAGTTTTTAAATGGATTAATTATAATTATCCACATAGGTACCAAATTGCGGATAATCGCTTACATTTAGACATTTACTAACGAAAGAAGAGCAAAATAGCAGAAAAACTACATCTATGATACTTATGTAACATTTGTGACTGAGCTAAATTATGTATAATAATTTCTATGTGAAAAACATGGATTATACACTTAATACATAACAGCACTGTTTATGAATAAAGTTATGAAGCCGATGAGTGTTGAAATTTTAAAAAAGACTGCCATCTATTGATAAGTTTTAAAAATAGTTGTGGAGATTAGTTCTAAGTTTCATCAATAGATGTCACTAATACACAACATTAATCTGCAAAGATTATCCTATATTATTATAAAATTAAATATATTCTAATAATTTAATAATTACTGCCAAAACCTATCTATAATTCATGGAAATTTCAGCTAGGTTCTTCTTATTCATCAAACTGTATTACTAATCTTGATCAAACCTTTGATTCTGAAAGTTTGAATTTTTCGATTTTAAAATTAAAAAGAAAATATTAGAAATACTACCTATATATATCACTCTGTCCACAACTGGCATCCATTTTAGCATATAAATAGTGTAGTTACGAGCAATCTTCGTCCAACTGCACAGGCTAAACTTGTAATAAATGACAAAATGGACGATTGTGAGTTTTACTCTTATTTGTTTTTTTTTAATATTCCGGGTTGCCAAGTTAGGCTTTTCCTCAACAAGACCACGCAAAGCACTAGTAAGTACTGTTGTGTTCGTGTTTTCCGACTAACAATTTTGAAATTTACTGAAACTACGTAGACTTTGAAAGCAATACCAGTTAAGTAGTGACATCAAGAATCAAAGCTAAAGTTGGCGGATAGACGGTGTCGGATTATTCTAGCACTGTCATATCGTAGGGCCTCTTGTGAGTCCGCACGGGTAGGTAACACCACCCTGCCTATTTCTGCCGTGAAGCAGTAATGCGTTTCGGTTTGAAGGGTGGGGCAGCCGTTGTAACTATACTGAGACCTTAGAATTTATATCACAAGTCGGGTGGCGCATTTACGTTGTAGATGTCTATGGGCTCCAGTAACCACTTAACACCAGGTGGGCTGTGAGCTCGTCCACCCATCTAAGCAATAAAAATAAATAAAAAGGTTTTGGCTATTTGTATTACGGCCTCATTCTTCAAGCAAGCTTCATAGCAAGAGGCCATGGCTAACTGTTCCGTTACGATTAGTATTGTATTAGATCTAACTAGTTAAAGTTGATCTGCTTGCTCGTTTAACTTGTTCTGCATTCGGTGTCTTGGTCTCGTATGTGTTTTCGGTAACCACAGTGCGAAATTCCTAGATGAAGTCGTACAATTAATTAACCATTGCCATTTACTTTTTTTTTACGAATAAACCGTAAAAACATCGTAGTGGGATGTTAACAGAAATAAAAATGTATGTAAATTGAAAACAAACAAAAAAAAACTGAAATAGTTAACTGAACTAACGATTAGCTTCATATTTTTTATCGTGTCAATACTGGTCAGGATGTTAGAGCGAAGTCATAAAATTGCATTGTCATCGGTCTTGACCCTTGGTCCTGAAGTGGATGATAATGATATGCAAATAAACATTAAACTAATAAAATTATCTTATTTAAAGTAACAGGAAATGGCTTTTCTTGCCCTTGTAGGCAGACGAGCATACGGCCCACCTGATGGTGAGTGGTTACCGTCGCCCATGGACTTCAGCAATGCCAGAGGCATAGCCCATGACGTAAAAACAACAAAATTCATCATCGTCGTCATCACAGTCACAGGCATAGGCCACTGCTGGACATCGATAAGGCTCTTCTAATAAACTCCTAGAAAAGTTCGGCCGAACATAATTTCATTATAGGTGACGTCATTGCCATGGCAATAGATGGCAGGGCAATCATAGATCACACATCGAATATGTACACATCGGTTAGCCACACATGACGTCATCAGAATGGAAGATAAAACACAGAAAATAAAACGAATCACTGGGATGGAAATGAGAAAACAGACTTGGATTTTTTAACCATTTATATCGTAAATTTTCAAAATAAAATACCTACATTTATAAAATCTGCTTACACCTAATTTATTGTTCTCGGTCTCATAAGTTGTTTTAGAGAAAACGAAATTTGATAGCAACTGAATCTATCTATAAATTAAGAGGCGACAGTTAAAAGTATCAACGAATAACTAAAATAGTCCGAAAGCGATTTTAAACAATAACTTAATCATAAAATAAATTCAGATTTAAAAACTTTAGACGTATACAGACTAAAGAGAATTGAAATTATAATACAACACATACATAGAAATTGATCGAATGCTAAATAATATAAATGGTATCACATTCTTAAATTCTAAGCTCTTTAAATTACAAGGAACTTATGTTTAGCCATACCACGATGAAAGAATCTCTATGCTGCGAAGACAATACGCAGTTGCACAACTTTATAACGTGTCATGATAAATTTGAACATAATTTAGATACTGTTAAACCAGCGAATACAGTAAGTACACAACCGTTATAATTTTGCGTAATTAAATGTTAAAATTTATCAAATTATCAAAACAATAAGAATTCTTTTTTGTATGTCAGACATGAAGCATTGGTAATCATAGGTCTTCGTTCCACTAAACAAACGAAATGATAAGATGAATTTATTCCCAACAAAACCTTTTGTAATTATCATGAACATGGCAACAGTTTACACGTATAAAAATATGATTTTACTAATACGCAATATACTCTCATAAATATAAATTTATACGACTAAATAACTTTAATGATCAAGGCACTGTCGACTACAAACACACTTTGGCAGGGAGAGTCATAGACAAAATACCATAGCTCTCCCGAAAATCAGTCCTTAAAACTCGCACATCGTTCTAGAAACTCACAAAAACGATCACAGAATTTTGCCAATAGTGAAAATGTTCGTCCCTTGACACTCATTCACACCACAATGTGTTTAAAACGTTCTCTCAGGAATGCCCAATTTCAAGTGGTCGATTTAGGCGCGTTTGAATTTTCAGATGGAGTTATTATGATGTCTCCAGCGTTCGACCTACTCCTGGTGACTAGAACAGGTGTTTTGGGCTTCGGTGTCTCAGTCATCTTTATGCGAACCCTTCCCATGTCTGGCGAATATACTGGCACGTATTCACGCGACGGAGATAAGAAATCTGAATCCGTATTTTGATCTCCGTTTATAAGCGGCTGGGACGTATCAGAGTCATTAGTGCCATTTAATCTTGGGTTTTCATCGTCATTTAACGGTACAAATAAGTCTTCACTCGACAGTGAATTGTTGTCTTTACGTGAATCAGGAGAAGCCGGAGCTGATTCGAATGAAGTTTCCTGTTGCGATGGAGTCTTTGCAAGATTATTATCTTTCGAACTACTCCTATTTTGATTTGTATCTCGAGGACTCTCGGTTTTTGGATCATTATTTTCAGCGTGGTTAATTCCATTGGCAACGTCACCATTTTCGCTTTTCTTTTGGTGCAGTTCGTGAGTAGGTACCAATTCATATTTACCATTCACTTTCTTTTCTATGGGATTTTCAATAACAGCCGGTTTACCGAGTAAAGATTTGTTCATGTCTACCATTTCCTTCGAAGCTTTTTCAACGTCTCTCTTTTGTTGGCGTAATAGTCTCCTGTCTCTTCTTTTTCTCATTTGTCCTTTAATTATTGCAAAACCTATCAAACTTACAAGCAACATTACAATGATGGCTATGCAAACATAAGTTCCGGTTTTATGTGGAGTAGGGGTCTCGTCTTTATCAGCTGGTCTCTGTCCAAGAACTTCTGATACCGCAGTTACTCTTATTTGCTCAGATACGGTAGTATCACGGGCTGTAGATGATGTAGTTTTTTCTGTAGAGCTTGACGATTCGCCTTTGTTATCCCAATCGTCATTCCCTTGAAATATTGCAGGTGGTTTAGGGATGGGATACTCAGTAGTAGATGTATTAAAATCATCTTCGAAAATTCTGCGCACAGGATGCGTGTTTAATTCTTCGTACACAACTGTCGTCGTTTCTTCTTCAAACAAATCAGAACCAAAGTCCGAGGGAATAGCTCCAGAACCTTCTCCGGATCCATCTATTGGATCTTCAGTGGTTTGAATATTATCAGCTGGTAGGATTTCATCGGCAGTAAATAGATCTGCATGAAATCTAGGATTCATTTTTGGTTCTATCAAAAAATCAGATAATGTAGTGCTTTCCCCTTCTCCGGAACCCTCTATGTCGTTCAATGAGGATGACGGTGCAGCTGTTTTAGTCTGTCCGACTTTGAGAAACAAAAGGTTATCATCGTCGTCACCAACATCTCCACTCTGTATAACTTTACCATCATCTAAATCACTTTTTGCTACTAGAGGCATTGATTTTAATGCGTTAGATTCTTCACCAACTTGTGCAGCATCAATAGGTTGATCCCCCATCATCATATCCAAGAACTGAGGTTCTGTTTTTACTGATTTACAAATATCTTTCGTTTTTAACTCGAGCCAAGATTGACCTTTTAGTTTGGTCGGTAAAGAACATTTTACATTGTCGATCACTACGTTTGCTATAATTAATCGGTCTCGAAGCAAAATATTTTCACAAGAACAGTCTAATGGGTTTCCTTCTAATTCCAAATGTTCCAAGCTTGTCAAATGCCCAAGATCTGAAGGAACATCTCTTAAAAGATTGTTGGTCAAATCCAGTGAGCTAACACTAGCCGGTAAATGCGACATGGCGAGTTCTTTTATCCTGTTGTTTGCTAAGTTTAAGTGCACCAATTTTTTGGCATTATGTAAGAATTTGTTCAAGTTCTGAATACCATTGGTAGACAGATCAAGCGTGACAACTTCGGTAAGCCGATCCAACTCATGATTCAATTTCGTAATATTGTTGTGGGAAAGATCTAAAATATTAATGTTATGGTGCTTTTGGCGGAGGGTGAACTTATAAAGTTCGGCGAGGTTACTGCACGTGGCACGATGTAAGCCATCGCGAGTAGTACTGCAAACGCAGCTTTCGGGACAGACGGTTGCTAAGCTGGGAGCCACTAGCAGTGACACTGCCAGGAAACACGAGAAAACAGGAGTCCACGTCATCATGTCAGCACCTGGAATAAGAAATTATATCAATTAGATAACAGGTTTCAACGAAAATTTTTAAAATAAACCGGTCGGGGTTCTGAGTTTATCGCTTCAATTAACTAATTAATGGAAAAGGTCCTTATAAAAAGATTATCAACGGTTATGCATTTTCAATTTGGACTGAATCAAAAGGTTGATCTACCGGTTCCGAAACTCGTTTCAAATATATTTTCAGAACAGACGGGTTTTTAATAGTTGCGTGAAAATAACAAAGATTCTTAGTTGCAGTTCGTAAAATTACCGTTGGTCGAAAGCTCCAGAAAGAATACTGAGCAGTATTTATTATATATAAATTATTTTTCAGCAAACTGAACATTCATAATCGTCAGTTTTTTTTTTATTGCTTTTTTGGGTGGACGAGCTCATGGCCCACCTGATTTTAAGTGGTTATCGGAGCCCATAGACCTGTAAAAATGCCACCACCCATCTTGAGATATGAGTTCTAAGGTCTTAGTATAATTACAGCAGCTACCCCACCTTTCAAACCGAAACGCATTACGGCAGAAATAGGCAGGGTGGTGGTACCTACCGGGGCGGACTCACGAGAGGTCCTACCACCAGTAAAAGTACCAGTAAAATATTCAAACCACAACACCCTAATTTGAAGAGCAATATAAAAATAGCAGGATAAAATAATAAAGTTGTTTCGGACCTCTACCTATATATTAAGTACTTCACATCTCCAATCATGGCAAGTGCATTCACAGGAGAATTTGAATCTAATAGTTTCCTTTTTTTATTGATAACGGTATCCAAATTAGCCTCTTCAATGACCGGTGTCAATAATTGTGTTCAATAAAGCAGTCTCATTGGTATTTTACGATCTATTGTAATTGTCATCTGAGCCCTCTTCTGTTATTCTACATGCTCTAAGTGGCTCTTCAAATTACAAGTGCTTTGATTATTTTTTACAAGCCAACTCACGTCATTTAATCTGCCTAATAAAGTCCTTGAATAGTCTAAGGAAAAATATTAGGACTTCTCAACTTCCTAGTTCTTTTTTCATTCGATAACAATTNTTGGTATTTTACGATCTATTGTAATTGTCATCTGAGCCCTCTTCTGTTATTCTACATGCTCTAAGTGGCTCTTCAAATTACAAGTGCTTTGATTATTTTTTACAAGCCAACTCACGTCATTTAATCTGCCTAATAAAGTCCTTGAATAGTCTAAGGAAAAATATTAGGACTTCTCAACTTCCTAGTTCTTTTTTCATTCAATAACAATTCGACTAATAGCAAAAAATCTACTTAATGCATATGGCTAATGTAATTTTAATTTTATCTGATTCGATTTTGGTTTGTCCCAGGCTTTGGATGATGATAAATACAAAACAAACGTGAGTTTAAAATTTAAAAAGTCTTGAAATTCGGTTAAAAAGACTTTTTTTAAATGCACACACACACACACACACACACACACACACAAAAAACCGGATTCGTCGTTGATAAATTCAGCAGCTGATTTAAATAGTCCGCCATTTATTTATTTCAATTCGTTCTATTTGCGTCCGCACAACATCCTCAGTGCACTTGGCCGTCGAGTCAAGATATAGTTCAATGTTATGCCAGCAGGAAGAGAGTTGTTAACCATTTGTGCAAATTTGACGGTACAATATACATATATACATCTGTACGACGTACTGAGATAAGAAATTGACGTTAACGTTTATAGACGAACTCCCCCACGATTGCTTTGTTTAGCAATGTACTCTTATAGAAATACAAGAAAATAAATATAGAAACATGTATATGAAAATTCTTGTGTAAGCCTGCAGTAATTTTCTGTTAAACTAAAAACATTGAAATGTTTGAAGTATCGATCGTGTGTCCTCTCGGATTTTTGTCGACGTCGCCCAAAACACGTGATTACGGATCCTCCCGATTCATTAACGATGCTTTTAGGTACCACTAGCACCGGTCACCGTCCTCGTCGAACCCGTCGCTTGCGACGAAGGGCTCGACGAGTGAATTAACCCATAGACAGAGCCCACTGAGTTTCTCGCCAGACCTTCTCAGTGGGTCGCGTTTCCGATTCGGTGCTAGATTCTGCGAAGCACTGCTCTTGCTAGGGCCAATGTTACCAACACTTTCGGTTAGAGCCCCGTGAACTCACCTACACGTCAAGGAGAAGCTGAAATAGCCTCTCAAGGCTATCAGCATAGGTTGGGAAAAAAAGGGAAAAAATCGTAGGTTTACGTAAAATCAACAAAATTAAATATCCATGTAGATCGTATTTACTCACTTTAAAGGTAAATTTTAAGGTTCATCAACATAGTTTTTCCCCCTACTTATTCACACTGATAGCTTAAGGGGCTATTCCAACCACACTAAACTACTGAATTTCATGATTAATAATTGCATAAACTGAGTAGTGGTTATCGAAGCCTATAATTATACATCACAGCGTGATTGCCACAAACCATCGTCAGGTCGAAGTCTCAAAAGTATTGCTTAACGTTATGTATTACATAAATGCATTAAACTTGTATGAACCCGGTAAGAACCCCGCTCAGCTCACTTACTCATTCGGTTAAGCTGGCATAGTCCACCAAGGCTACCACCATAGATAGGATTAAAAAAAAAAACAATTGTATTAAACAAAATAAATTACGAAACATTTAACTGTATAATAACAACAATTTTTCTTAAATTTAAACATACAATACAAATGATTCACGCAAAGAGGACCTTGGTAGAAGACATCGGTGTTTTAAGAAAATGATTTTGTAAGTCTTTAAAGGAAATAATGAAAGGGTTGCCAATAACAAGGTGCAGTGAGTCACAAGGCTGCACGTCGACTAAATGTCACAGATTCGTGCAATGTATTTGCTTTAGCCGTCCGAATGGTTGGAAGGTCAGGTGATATTTCAGAACAGCTGTGCAGCTTAAGGTCTAGACACAATGTCTTTATGCGGCCATTAAATATAATGCAACTATGTATTTACCGAAAGAATCGCTGCTGTAATTGTATTTATTTATTTTATCTATCTTTATCTTCTTAATTTAAATATTTCTGCATGCATGTGTTTGTCACTGAACTCCTCCTAAACGGCTGGACCGATTTTAATGAAATTTTCTGTGTACCTTCAGATGGATTCGAGAATGGTTTAGATTTACTATTTACATCCGCCCGGCAGATGGCGCTGCAGTGGGTATCTAGATTATTTATCTTTCCTAGAAATAATTTATATAGGAAAACAACTTTTGCCGGGCCAGCTAGTATATTAAATAATTCAACTGTACGTGTGTATGCCACTAAACTCCTAAGCGGCTGGAAAGATTTGAATTATTTTTTTTGTATGCGTTTGGGTGGCGCCTTAGGTGATTTAGATTCACAAATCAGCCCGTCAGATGGCGCTGCAGTCGGTATCTAAGTTATTTATCTATACGGCAACTAAACTGCTGGATCGACTTGATTGAATTTTTGTGTATTCACAGGACAACGTCTGTCGGGTCCGCTAGTATAGAATAAATAGGCAAAGACAATCAAGTACCTTTTTTGCTTAAGTTGGTCAATCGATTTTTTTGTTTTTTTTTGTTTAGTAACTGTTGACGAGCTTTTTGATCAATGAAAATATAGTATAATAGGTAAGTTAAAAACTAAAAAAAAAGCGCTTAGATAGACCGAATTATAAATTAATCTAATCTTTGTTTTTTATTCTATTAATACGTGTATGTGGTCTTTGTGGCGAGGCTTGGGGGAGGCCTATGTCCACTAGTGGACATCCATGGGCTGATAAGAAGAAAGAGAGCGAAGTTATAAGTTTATTGTATTGACGTCAGTCCTTAACACGAGCGCAAAATTTCAAGTTAATCTGAAGTCTCGATGAAAATGACGCTCAAAGATCCGTTACATATAAAAGAAGCACAAACACCAAACTAATATTAGCGTGTTAAGAATGCCGTAATATTACATTTTTCTGATTAACATTTCCGTTATGTTTTATTTCTTTACATATAAGAACATAAAACAGTTTTTAAACCAAATATACTTTATGATTAATCTATATATATAAAAGAAAGTCGTGTTAGTTACACTATTTATAACTCAAGAACGGCTGAACTGATTTGGCTGAAAATTGGTGGGGAGGTAGCTTAGGATCAGGAGAAGGACATAGGATTTTTATCACGTTTCTGTGGGATGTGACATAAAATGTGGTATAACAAAACGCAACAGATATGGAATAACAAAACGCAACTGACAGCTAAACGTAATGTAGTTTATGGTTAATTATAGTAGAATTTTGAAGTTGACCGGTTGATGTGTTTATTTCGAGTTTCGATTAGCTTATTGGGCCGAGATAGACAATCATTACGAAAGCCATGCCGCGACCAACACGATCAAATCTTTCCCGACGAAGCTGTAATGCAACTAGGATTCGAAACATTGCGAGTGAAAGGACTGAAGAAGAACAAAATATGATAATAATAACAACTCAAATACATGGCCAATAAAGAATCATTAAAATATTGCTTTTTTAATATACATTAAAATTATCCAAACTAAAAATTGACCTTGATAAAATCAAAAGTCTGCTGATTTATTGCCTCTAAGGCGGAATAAAGTTCGCCGGGTCAGCTAGTAATAAATAAATAAACAGCTGAGAACATATCACGTACGGTCATCCGGTCCCAGTTTCGAAATCCATCGCTTTCGGGTACCAAAGACTGACATACATACTTATATATGTTTAAATATATCCATACATAGACAAAAAGCACCCAGACAAAGACCAAACAAACTTTTTCATCATACGAGTGTTTACCTGATGTAGGAATCGAACCCATGAACCTCGTTGCAACAGTCGGGTGCGCTAACTCCTGCACTACCGAGTCAGTCGATCGATACGATTGTGATACAATCGAGTTAATCTATATAAATCAACGCTTAAACCCATTACATTTGTGTATTCCATCACGCGCTTGATATGCAGTTTTACATTTAAATAAGGTCCTACATACAG